TACTTAAAACATCTATCCCAGTAATTATCCACTCAGAGTGATTTTGGTCCTCTCAGATCGTTTGGCAATATTTGGAGATACTTTTGGTTGTTAAAACTTTGCTGGAAATGCTGCCATACATCCTGCACTGCACAGAACAGCATCTCTAACAGAATTACCTGCTTCAAAATGTCAGTAGTGCCAAAATTAAGAAACTAACCAAAACTGATATAATTGTGTTGGGAGAATGGAAATATGAGAAAGGTATGTGGATAACTGTAAAATGATGTCTAACTCTTTGAGAAGCTATTGTAAGGGAAATAGGTCAAACAGAATTTCTGGTTTTATTTATTTTTATTCATTTATTTTTTGGTGCCGGGGATTGAACTCAGGACCTTGCATTTGTGAGGCAGGTAGTGGCACCACTGAGCTAAATCCCTGGCCCCCGGGTTTTATGTTTTTGAGGGCTCTCCATACTGATTTCCATAGCTTACATTTGCATCAGTGGAAAAGAGTTCTTTTTCCCTGCAACCTCCCCAGCACTATCTGATTTCTTGATGACCCATGCACATCTGTGTTTATACCAGTACAGTTCATAATAGCTAAAAATCTTGGAAGTGGCTTGTATGCACATCAACAGATGAATACATAAGGAAAATGTATTTATTAATAAATAATAGAGTACTACTCTGCCATAAAGGGTAAACTTGAATCGTTTATAGGAAAATGATTCACCATGATACCATAATGTTAAGTGAAGTAAATCAGACACACAAGCTTAAATATTGCATGGTTTCTCTTACATGAGAAACCATGCAATATAAAGAGTAAAAGATAGATAATAGAGAATAAGAAAGTAGATATTTTACACATGAGAGGGGGCACCAAGAGATGGAGGGAAGGGCTAGGGAGGAGAAGAAAGGGGATGAAAAAGAATTAAGATATGTTACAAACTTGTACCAACTCCTCATGAGGAATGTAATCATTACTGTAAACATGTATTAATAAAAAATAAAAATTGAAAAAGTTAAGTATCAATCAGAAAAAAAAGAAGTATGGGGGAATGAAAGTGGAAATAGTTAATGCCTCATCTTCCGTAGTGGAAGTCAATAGAAAATGCCTCAGACTTGAGTTCAGAGAAAAGAGGACAAGCTTGGGGGGGCGGGGGGCGTTCCAAGAGGTCTTGCTGTACAGTTCAGTCTGGCCTTGAACTCCCGGACATCGTCCTGGCTCAGCCTGTAGAGTGCTGGGTCCACAGGCATGTGCCGCACCATTCTTGGCAAGGACTGTTTTTTGTAGTTTGGTTCTCTGAGCTTAAAATGGACAGTTGTAGAGTAGTCTGAGCATGTGCGGATCAAGGTTGAGCCCTAGATTTCATAAACAATTTTATGGGATCATTTTTCTGGCTGTTCTTCTTGCCATCTCTCTAGAACTTGTGTGTTCCCTAGGGCTTGCCGTTTTGGTCCTATAGCCAGAAAACCATGCTGTACACTTAATGTTACTGTCTATGTCTGGGACTAGCCAGCCAGAGAACAGACAGAAAAAGCAATAGAGATTGTCTGTACTCTTCTGGACTCATACAGCTCTTGACATTGGAAAGGAAGGTTCTTGTTCCTTAGGGTTTTAGGCTATGTAGGTCCTTATTGCTGTTACCTCTAAAATCGTGATAAATCGCGATAGGACTGGTTGAGGGCTGGGGCCTGAAAGAAAGGAGAAAAGAAAATTAGAGAGGATTTCTTCCACCGTCTCCCAAGCAGTAGGGGATGCCAGTAGATTCTTTTCTTAATCATTGAGGCAGAACTCAAGAACTTTTGGAACTTTCTCTGTCATTGACTGATGCCTACTTCCAGCCCCCAATCCAGGATAGTGGGTAACAGACAAGTGGAAAGGGGTAGATTCACTTTGATTCTGGTCTTTTCAGAACTTTCTGCTGTTTTCTTTTCATAGTTCCAAAGTAGCTATTTTGTATATCTGTTCGTGTTTTATAGCTGCATTTGATGAGAGGAACAGATTAGTGCATGCTTAACCAGGAAGAATAATCTATAAGCATTTAAAGGTAAACTATAATCCAGGTAATATCTTTGCATATTTTTATTACTGTAATTTGCTAGACTATTGGGAATAAAAATATGCAAAAATAAAATATTTACCTCACAACTAATTTGGAAAGGTTTATGGACAATAGTAATAACCATGTAATTCCTATGATAGGAGTCTGAGAGTATGTGGTATGATCAAAAATGTGAACGTTTGAAGAAATTTTTAAAAATTTTATTACAGTAAAAGACATGTTTCTGTTATTAATCTCCCTCAAAATATTCCCCCTTGCTTTGGAGACATTTATCCATTGTACTTGGAGCTTTCTGAAGTGAGTGTGGAAGTCTGCTTTCATGAGTGTCTTCATTCACTTTCACTGTCATGAATCCTAGATGTCCTGCATTGATTCAGAATGATTACCTTTAATGGTCATTTTGACTTTGAGGAAGAGCCAGAATTCACCCTGTGGCAGATCCAGTGAATAAGGTGGATGAAGATACACCATACTGTTTATGAGTCTGCCTTTCTTTTGGATGGCACCCAGCAGCAACATTCACTATATTTCTTTCACTATATTTCTTTATCACACCTCATAAAGGACTTCCAGAAGTACTTCAGAAAATGGCGAGAATGATATGAGTGTTCAGAGCAAGAGAAATGTTTTGAAGGGGATCAATGGCAATATATCTTTTATAATTTAGAAAACTAAAGCACTGTATATTTTGACCATACTTCATTTATAAGTCTGTTTTGAGGAGTCTGTTGTACTTATATGGTACTTACATGGTACTTACATGGTAGTGTTTGTAAGTTTCAGGATGAATGAGCAGTTTCTAGGTATGTAGCTCAGTGGTGTGCTTGCCTCACATGGGCAAGGCCCTGGGTTCAATATCCAGTCCAACGAGTGGAAGGGAGAAGATTTATCATTTTGATAGATGGATGTGGAAAGGGGCAGATGAATACAGTATAAAAATGGCAGCTACAAGTTCCAAGAATGAGGTCTCACTAGATACAAAGAACCTCTCAGTGATAAGAGATTGAATAGTTGGGCAGGAACTAGATCCCAAATGTTGTACAGCGGGGTTTTGGTTTTATGCTTTAGCTAATGTTAGATTTTCATATTTGACCTTTTGTTCTTAGTATATATGCAGTTTAAGCTCCTTTTCCCCATCATTTTTCTGTATTGAAACAGATTACTGTTTGTATGTTTGTCTTATTTCCTTATTCTTTATTGGATGTTACTCTAATCTTGTAATTTAAAAATATTTCCTTGAGATTTGATTGGAAACTTAAGAGCCAAGAGTCATTTAGTACCATCACTAATGAGTAATGTAAGTGATCAAACTGGTGATACTATTTTTAGTTTTTAAAAATGACTAAAAATAGTTGAGCCAAGTGAAAGACCGACAAAACGCAAGAGTTTCAGTGTGATTCCCTTAAGACTATGGAAAATGCACACTAATCTCTAGTGACCAAAAACAGATCAGTGATTGCCTGGAAATACGAAGAGGGTTGACACAATGATTTCAAAGGGAAGAAAGGAAATTTGGAAGGTGATGGATATGTCCATTATCTTGATTGTGATGATGATCAAGGGTACACCCTCATGTAGAAATAAACAGTACACGTTAAATATGTTTATATCCTCAATAAAATTTTACTAAAAAAATGACTTTAAAAATACCTGTGAGCTCATTTTATTTAGTTCAACATATCTCTCATGTTTACTAGAAGTTACCAAAAATGCTTAGCAAAAAAATTAGTAGATGCTTAATGACGGCTCATTTTCAGTTGGATTTATAAATTCTACCTTATCTGTTTCACCTAGAGGATTATCACATATATGTGTATGTATAATACAGTACATTATGTACATTTACATAATAGAAGACATTTTTCCATCTTTTCTCCACTGTACTTAGAAAACACAATTTTGGATTTTAAAAAATAAATTTCATGAAAGTGAGTTTAAACCAGGACTATACAGATTAGGTTCTTTGGAAAGTGTGTTATGTTAAAGAGCAGCAAGAGAATATCAGTTTCTCTCTTTGACAGTATTTCTTTGTAAAGTTTTATATGTGAAGGTTAATCACATATGAAATGTTGGTATTAAATTTTACAAATATATTTGCATATATGGTTGGAAATGTTACTAGACATGGAAGGAAATCCTAGTGAAGGATGTTTTCCTTCCCACTTTGTTAGCTTTTATTTCTATACTTGTAAACAGAATATACAGACCCTTAAATTCCATTTCGAGATAAATGTTGTATCTTGTTTTCTCTATCCGAAAACTCATTTCTCTTACGCTGATTTCCACAAATTCTAATTACTTCCTTGATTGGAACTCCTTTTGATCCCTTTTCTAAGTTGTGGGTCGGGGTGAAACAGTTTCATAGATTAAAATAAATCATTACAATTGGTAAATGTAATTTTGTATGTGTTTTGTTTTTGACAGCCGATTTATTTTGCATATTCCCAGCGAGGAAAGAGACAATGCAATCCGAGTGTGTTTTCAGATTGAACTTGCCCATTGGTTTTACTTGGATTTCTACATGCAGAACACACCAGGATTACCTCAGTGTGGGATAAGAGACTTTGCTAAAGCTGATATCCTTTTTGTTACTATGACTGTCTTTCATTCTTGTTAATAAAATAGTTTTGAATTTTCTTTTACTTGTCTTTGAGATTTTTAACTTACTGGATAATATGTCCTTGATTTCTGAAAATTGTCAAATATATATAATGAAGGCTAGAGATGTAGTCTAGTGTTAGAGTACTTGCCTAGCATGCATTGAGCTTCTGGGTTTGATCCCTAGAACTGCCCCCATCCCAAATTGTATATATAAAGTAGACACAATTTAGTAGGTTTTTTTTTTTTTTTTGGTACCAAGGATTGAACTCTGGACCTTGCGCTTGTGAGGCAGGTGGCGGAACCACTGAGCTAAATCCCCTGGCCCTTTAGTAGTCTTATTTTTATACATAGGGCCTCTCAAAATGTAACTGATTAGAAATTGATTTTATTTTCTTTTAGAAAATCTATTTCTAAAACTGATCTGTTTTAACTTCATTCTTGTACCATTCTTCAATCAAATTGCCTTTCCAATTTACTTAGCAATTTCTTAATTACCAAATATTCAGTGTTAAAAGCAGTTTTATTAGCTGGTCGTGGTGACACATGCCTGTAATCCCAGCACTCGGGAGGCTGAGGCAGGAGAAGTGCCATGAGTTCAAGGCCAGGCTGGGCAATAGAGTGAGTTCAAGACCACCCTGAACTATATAGAGAGACCCTGTCTCAAAAAAACCAAAAAGAAGAAAAAGTTTTATTTGTACTGTAGTAAATACAAAGAAATCTTTTTCTTCAAATCTTTTTTTGTTCTATATATGTTATTACACAGCACCCTGTCATAATTTATAATAAATGATTTGCATGAATATTTAAGATTATAAAAATAACTATTCCATAAGGCAAACAGTTGATAAATTGCTAATGATCTTGATACATTTTTAGAATTTTAGAAAAAGGTAGAAAGAATTTAGACAAAGGTATATTTTTAAGGGAATATAAGATTCCTTATATAGACAGAAGTGAGGAATATGTTCTAGGTTAAAAATAGGGATGGAGTTGGAACATTATAAGGCTATCTCAGAAAATAAATTAGTTTGTATTGAGCACAGAGTTCTTAGGAGGCCACAATAGTAGATACAGATGGAAAAGTATATTTTACACATTGTGGGGATTCCTACAGCTTGAGCTAATATGCTTTGTTTTGTATTGTGGAGTTCTTTATTTTTCTCAAGCATGAAGTAAATGTATTTGTACTTGCAAGCACAGTATGTTAGAACTAGAGTGGGAGTAGGAATTGGTGACCAGTAATACTCCATACTCTGCTCCCTGGTGTTTGTTTGTTTTTTTTTGTTTTGTTTTGTTTTTTTTTTGATACCTAGGATCGAATTTGGGACTTTGCACTTGTGAGGCAGGAGGTGGCACCATGGAGCTAAATCCCTGGCCCTCCCTGTTACTTTCTTGAGCTCCATTAAATACAGAACTCCTTAGATTCTATAGAAAACGGATGAAATACTGTTCTGGGTAGCTTAATCATAGCAAGTTTTTGAGCAAGGTAAGAAGTGTTACTCAGATCATTTTAAAATGGTATTCCAGGAGATTTATTAGGTAGGTTAAACCATACAGTGAGCTGTCATATAACTTGAGATAAGGAACAGGAAGGTTTTGAGCCACAGTAATGAAACTATAAAGAAAAGACTAATGGGAAACAGATTTCAAAAGGTGGTCAAACCATTCGACTCATTCAATGTGTAGAAGTTAATGAAGAACCAAAGGGAGATAAAAGTATACTAAGTGCCATCTTTGGTGGTGGGTAGTGTGGAGAAGTCTTTGGTTTTAGGGAGTTATGGTCTACTTAACCAATGTTTTGTTTTGGTCACTTTGTGTAGATTTATGTTTCTACCAAAGTAGATCTTTGGAGTAGTACTGCATCAGATTTTGCACATAACTGTGCACATGAGTTTTTGTACTTTCTTTGCTATTAAAAAGTAAAATTATTTCAGGTACACTTCTTTTAGTTTGATGTTGTGGGGAAAGAACTATAGTGGATTCTTCCATTAAATAAGTAAATGGTTACTCTGTGCCAGGCATTATACAGTGAACAAGTTAAACTCAGTGTTGTGAAGATGAGAAACAAAAGAATTATAGTTCAGTATGGCAAGATAAATAGAACAGTACGGGGTTCAGAGAGAACAGAAGAGAGAAGAGGGATCAAGATTTGGGGGCTATTTAATCCTGAATTTATCCACTCAAAGATCTTGGGGGAAGTTATCTAATTTTTCCTGTTCTTAGTTTCTTCATCTGAAAAAAATAAGGTTAGTAGTGAGGCAAAGGATAAGTTTGAGAATTAAGCTAATTTGTACATGTAGTAAATTATTTAGGGCAATACCTGGTGATCATGTAAACTACAGAGTCTGCCCTAAAACTGTATATACACATCAGGAAAAGAAAAATAGTATGTTTTTTTTTCAACAGATGGTGTTACTCTCGTATGGGGGATCCTAAAGGTTATATTATTGCAGAAACCCACTCTGCACTGCCAGCCCTTAGAGAAGAAATTGAAAATATATGTGCAACAATCTCAATGACCAAGGTTACCCAAGTAGCAATTCACCATAATAAATGTCTGGAAGCTGATGGTCACCATTTTGAACACCTCTTGTAATTATGGAGGCCAAAGGTAACTTGTACTAATGTCATGTTGTCTCAATCAATTTAGTAATACTTATACAAGTTTTTCTGTTCCTGAAGTGTGTATACATATTTTTGGTGGACTGTAATTTAAAAAAAAATTTTAATTAGATGACTTCTTTGAAGGAAATCTATATGAGAAAGATCTATGAGGAAGTAAAAGTAAAATATGTATTAGTGTAAATGAGCAATAAGTGAAGCCAGAGCGTAATTGGTGGTTTAAAACATATAGGAGTCTTGTGGGCCACATTTGCTTGGAAAGGAACAAGAACATACAGAATTTTCAAAAAATGTCTTATTTTGCGGGAAAAAAACCCTTCAAATTATACGAAAAGTAAAAAAATTTATTGAATTACTGTCATATCTTTCATATATTTTTATTCACATTTTGTCACATTTCTCTCTGTACAAGGAGAATTTTGAAAGGTTACTGAAGAGCAGTGTGCACAGTGAAGGGGAAGAAGGCAAGATTGGATTCTGAGATGCTATTATTTATGAGAAAGTGAAAACCTGTGACATTAGAAGTTCATTGGAAAAGCCAAATTTGAAAGATACTTAGGAGATACAATTGGGGATAACTTAAATATCTGGGGAACACAAGTGATGGTTTCTGATTTCAGCAGTTGAATGGATGAATGTGCCATTCCATTTGTAGGAAAATGAAGTTTTATAGGGGAATGATGAAGTGAGAAGTTGAATTTGATGAGAGGAGAGACTGCATTCTGTGGGAGTTAAGAGCATGATTTTTGGAGCCACATTCTGCCTCCCATTTACTAGTTGTGCATCTGTGGACAAATTGTGGGACTTTTTTATACCTAGTTTTACTCTTGTAAATTGTGCATAGTCTTAGTTTTTCTTCAGTAAGCAGTCAGTGATGTGGATAGATGGGCATCCTGGAATTGGTTGGCTGAAGTTGTGTTAGGAAGCTAAATTCAGAACACAGTGGGGCAGAGGAATTAGGATATTGCTAAGAGATTAATCAAAGTGGTAGACCATATAGTTCAGGGAAGAAAATAAAAGCAGGAGGGTCCTAAGAGGGAGAAAGGAAAGCAGTTGAAGACTGATACAGAATAACAATGTAGTGCAAATAATTAAAAGGAAGGCATAGAAGGTTATTCTTTATTGAAAATCCTACCCATTACCTTGTTATAGTTTCCTCATAGACAACACAGAATTCTAGCCTCAGTTCCTTGATTTCCTTGTCTTTCACATCCATATGCATTTCTGGAACTGATTCCCACAGCAACCCTCTGGACCTAGCCAACACTAGCACTACCCTGACAGTTTAATTAAAACACATTGGACATAAGCTTCTGTGCTTTCCACTCATTCCTTGCTCACTTGATTTATTTATTTATTCATTTGAGACAGGGTTTCAGGCTGGCTTTGAACTCCTGAATAACCAGTCCCCTGCCTCAGCCTTCTAAAAGTCTTGGAGCTATAGGCACGTGCAACTGCGTGGTTTGTTAGTATTTTTAAAAAATAAATGTTATGGATAGAAAAATAACAGGTGACCATTTTGTGGAGATGCAGGTGTACCTTGAAATTATGAGGGTCATTTTAAGGAGAAGGAACAGAAAGAAAAACTGAATATACATTCTGTTCTAAAGTTTGGGCATTATTTCCATTCCTGGGGTCTTTTTATGTTTGTCTGTGGTTAATTTTTATTTATTTATTTATTTTTTGGTACCGGGGATTGAACTCCGGTCCTTGCGCTTGCACAGCTGGCAATAAAACCACTGAGCTAAATCCCCCGGCCCTGTGGTTAATTTTTTAATGGAAGAAATGCCTATTTAAAATTTAAACTTTGGTTAGGTTAAAAAAAAATTTGTGATGACTTTTATAACTCACAACAAATTTTACTGGAAAAAGTTTATCCTAACTTGTACTGGTAAATAACTTTCAGAATCTTAGCCTTTGTGGAACTGTAGTTATTCATGAGATGGTTAATATATCTAAACTTACATTCTGTTTTCACCCTCCCCAAATGAAGGCATGGAATAATAATTGGGATTAACCTTGTACCTGTCTTTTAATTATGTTGTCGGCATAGATAACTCACTTCTTTGGACTTGATGAGGGCCTTTTTCTTGTTACAACTATAAAATCAAAATATTTTAAAATATGAAATTGTGGAACACATAAAATTCAAATTAGTAAAATGAATTTAATGTGATGTTTTTGTTTTGCCCAAACCTCTCATCTCAGTGGACGTATGGTGCTAACTTAAAGGTTCTTCTGAGTTTGGTGTCTCTGTACTACCAGTTCTTAACACCACCTTTTCCTGTTTCATTTGTTGTGAAATCTTTATGTTAGGGCATCATTTGATACCATTTGATCTCAGTGCAAATAACATATTATTTATCACGCACATATATTAGGTTTGATTCTGATTGTAATAGCTCACAATGATTAAAGTAATTCTGGTACCAATATGATCTCTGAAATACTGTGGTAATGTTTCATATATGTGCTTACCTACATAATTATTCCATATTTTTAGTTTAACATCAAAATGAGAACACAGTACAAGTTCTTTACAGAAGACTTGAAAATCTTTAAAAATAGGCTCTGAAAAATACTACTATAAATTATAAATTTCCCCACAGTTTTCATCATTAGCAGTTTCAGTGATGAGGTATTTGATGGCATGGATAATTGAAAGGCATATAATTTCAGGGTTTGAGTTTTACTTTTTTCCCCCTACTGCTGTACACTGTCCAGTTTGGCGGAGGAGCATATCCAGTTTGTTTGTTTTAACTGGCAGTACCCTGATTTAACTTTTCTCTCTAATTCATAAGTCTTCATCTTTAAAATGTTTTTCATTATGAGACCAATAGATGTATGTAGTAAAGAAATTTAAGGGTATGGAATATTATATATCTTATCCCTAGTTCTGCTTCCCAGAGTTAACCATTTTGTGTGTGTTTTCTGATAGTTTATTTTCACTTCACAGTATGTATTCTCTTTCTCATTCTCCATCTCTCCCAGCCGCCTCCCCCCTCTTTATCCCTTCTTCTCTCCATACACTTATGTACTTCTGTTTCTTGCTGTCAGTTTCAATATCTTTTCAGTCTGATACGAATTTGAGAAGTATTTGAAATGTTACAGGTTTTGAATTCATTTGTGTTAACTCAGGGATCTCATTCTTCAGTATCCAAAATTTACTTGATTTGTGTCTAGGGTAAATACAGAAGTTAACGATGAGTTTGTTCAAGAGAAAGTGGATGTGGAAGAAACCAGAAAATATTAAACCTAAGTAAAGTGATATGTTGAACAATTTCATCTAAAATACAGGTCATTTAAATAGGTCTCTATGTAATTTTTCAAGCTGTGTTAAAGGAGAAAGGAACTTCCTTAACACTATACTCTTCAGTCATTGTCCATTTTTGCTGCCTCAAGGTGAAGATGTGGAAAAAATTTTGGATGAATGGAAGGAATATAAAATGGGAGTTCCAACATATGGTGCAATTATTCTTGATGAAACACTTGAAAATGTGAGTTTAATAAAGTAAAAGATTGGTGATCAACTGTTAGTTTTTAGTGTATAAACAAAATTTGTTGTGTAGTGGTCTTAATTGAGCATATATAGTATACTTAGATCTATAGGGCTAAAAGGCCAAATTTTACATATTTTGGTATATTCTGGGTCTTAGGATTTTGTATTTGTTTTGCATTTATGGCTCAGTCCAAATACGTGTCATTTTATTAATGAAGAAACACTTTAAAATAGGCAAAATGCCTTTCTTCACAGCAATAGTATATTTAGACTTAGGAAAGTCATCTAAATCAGTGCCATATACAGTTATTGGTAGTAACTTGAAATAAGGAGAGCAACACCTTTGATTTTCGGAGCAGTGGAAAGGAGGGCAAGTTTGAGTTATATTTCTGCTTGTTTTTTAGGTACTACTGGTTCAGGGGTACCTAGCAAAATCAGGCTGGGGATTTCCCAAAGGAAAAGTAAATAAAGAAGAAGCTCCTCATGATTGTGCTGCTAGAGAGGTGAGTACTGCAGTTTGAAACAGTGTATTTGGCCATTAGGTTCAAAGTATTGTTTAACCACTCACCAGTGCAATTTAAATACAGGGTGACCTAATATTGCATATTTTTCATTAATTTTTATAAGACAACATAAAAATGAGTTATTAGATTTATTCAGTACAAGAATCAACTGGTTGAAATGACACCTGCCTGAGAGATGCTTGGGATATGGAAACCAATGTGCTGCCCAAGTGAGGCTCAGGTGAACTGTTGAGTAGTTGAAGCTTGTGGACTTGTTCTTTTGGATGGATGGTCCAATCTTTCCAGAATTTCATGAGTGCATGAAGTACTGTGCCTTATAACTGTCTCTTGTTTTGTCCATGTATCTCCTCATTTATTCTGTTTCCATTTTCTTTCCCTGTCTTTGTTTCTGTAGTGCTAGGGTTTGAACCCAGTGGCTTTGCACTGTGCTACACCTCCATCTTGTTTTGTTTTTTTTTTTTGGTACTCAGGATCGAACTCAGGACCTTGCGCTTGTGAGGCAGATGCTGGAATCACTGAGCTAAATCCCCCATCCCAACCTTTTTTATTTTCAAAAGAGCATTGCTAAGTCACTAAATTGCCCAGGCTGGGATTGAGCTTGAAATCCCCCTCCCTCAGCACCCCTTCTCGAGGATTATAGGTGTGTGCCTGATTAGTCCATCTAAAAAAATCATCTTTTGTTCCTTTTTTTAATGATGGTATGCTTTTAACCTTTTAATTTTGGAATTGACTTTGTAATTGTAAAACATTTTGGCTATTACAGTCCTTGTTTTATTTTATAGTTTTGACTTCCATGTAGGTGCCCAAATGGGACCATTCTAAGAACTTTACATTATTGTTGCTCGAAAATCGTATGCCTACAGAATGAACTCTGACTCCCCTCCTCAGCACACACCTGACCCATTTAAATTATTTATTTGCTGTCCTCTGCACTGACTGGTTTGTTTCAGACTCTAAAATTTTGCTGGAACTATTTCTTTACCTGAAACATCTCTCTTTTTCCTTTCTGTTTGAATCCTATATAGATATGTTTCTAAACCAACTCAAATTACTCTTTTTATTTGAAGTTCTGTGACACGCTAGCTTGGTATATAGGACCTGAGTTTCTCTGTAAAATGAAGTTTAGAATGGGTAAGTTCTCAAGTTCATTCTTAAATAGTCCAGTTTACCAGCCAGCTTTAGCCCACAGTAATCTCTGAACTTTAATAGCAGCTGCTGTCATTATTCATGTAGCATTACTTACATAGTACCTTGTGTACTGTGTACTTAGCCATTCTTTATCATTACATTATACTTTAAGATTTGAAAAGTTGACCTGTATGTAATAAGTATGATATATATAGTGGAAAGAATGGTAGCCTAGGAGTTGGAAGATTTTTGTTCCAGTGTAGGCTCTGTTACTTAATAGCCTAAACACTTTGTTTGGGCAAGTCATTTAATCTGTGTAAAACAAATTTATTAATGAGGGTCACTTTCAAGGATGTCATAACTAGAAATAATGTCTTTTTTTATAAGAACATGAAAAGTAATTTATTATTATTAGGGACTAGGACATGCAAATTAAAACTTTGGTAAGATACTACTATAAACCCAGTGAAATGGTTAAAATGAAAAGATTAGCATTACCAATCATAGAAGTAATAGCTTTAAAGAAGAGAAAACAAGGTGGGGCCAGGGATTTAGCTCAGTGGCACCGTGCCTGCCTTGGAGGCCAAAGGTCCTGAGTTTGATCCCCGGTACCGGAAAAGGAAAAACAAAGAAAACAAGGTAGTGATTTCTAATTTGAGATAGTAAAATGGGTTTTGTGGCATATTGTTTTAGACTCCATTGCCTTATATTTTTTCTGTAGTAGTGTTTGTTGCTTACTTTAACTTTGTATGTAACTATTGGTGAGAATTAAAAGTTCAAATACTTAAAACCATTAATAACTGTTAGTGAAGAAAAAAATTTAAATTCTTACAAACCGTTAGTAGTTTTATAGGAAAAATAGAAGTTGTTTAAATCCTGTGAGGCAGGATTTTTAAAAATGATTGAAAATATTGTATTTAAAAAAAAATACTGTATGTTAAATTCACTATGAAACAGTTTATCCAGCATAGTATTTGTAGTGTTTGTAACAGCTTATAGACAAAGTAGCCTTCTCCAAATAAATTAAAGTTTTATGTACACCTCTTAAACTGTAAGAAAGCTGCTTGGGGAGAAGGTAATTCCCACATCCTCTAGAGCTTTCTTTCCTTTGCCTAGATGTTAGAGGATGCAAAGGACCAATTCTTAAGTCTTCCCTTTTGTGTCTTCATACTTTGTAGTTCTGTTGCCCATCAAGAAGGACAGAACAGGAAACATAGTATCTTATTTAGAGAAATTGATCTACAATCTTGCTCACGTAGTTAAAACTACAGCAGAGTAGTTGAACAGGTCCAGAAAGGACACTGCATTGAGTGAAATGATACATTTTGATTAAATTGTCAGCTATTTCTATAATTGGATTCTCTAGGGGAAACTTGGGGAAAATGAAAAATTGCAAGTTGCAAAATTGAACAAGATCCACTACTTGTAGAGAGTAGTTTGGGAACTAAGGTGGAGTGTATCTGTTTTAGCCTGCTGAACTGCCAGAATAATTTATCATAGATGGAGTGGCTTAAACAACAGAAATTTACTTAAACAGATTTAGAGACGAAGATGTGGGTTCCTGGTGAGGGCATTCTTTTTTTTTTTGGTACCAGGGATCGAACTCGGGTCCTTGCACTTTCGCAGCAGGTGGCAAAACCACTGACCTAAATCCCCAGCCCCATGGCAAAGGCATTCTTTATGGTTTGTGGTTGACCACTTTGTAACTCGTTGTTCACAGGGCCTTTCCTGAGTATATGCTTGTGTGCATGCTTGGGTGCTGCTGAGAGAGCTGTGTTATCTTGTTTGTTTGTTTGTTTGGATGGTTGGTTTTTGTTTTTTTTTTTTTTGAGACAGGATCTTGCTGTGTAGTGCAGGCTGGCCTCCAACTCACTACAGTCTGCCTGCCCCAGCCTTCCAAGTGCTGGGATTACAGGTATGCACCACCACACTTGGCTATGTTGTCTCTTACACAGATACCATCTCTGTCAGATTAGGGCCATGCTGTTAAGGACCACATTGGACCTTTATTACATTGGTCCTTTCACTTTGCTCTCCAAATATAGTCACACTGAGCCATAGGGCTTCTACCTACAAATATTTGGGGGTGGAGCACAAAATTAAGCCTACAACAGTTGCCATTCTTGAATGATGTAAGTATTCAACTCTCAGACCTAAGATTGCAGTATGTCCTTCTGCCACTTGGTGGTACTGAAGTATAATAAAAGCAGCACCATTGGAAAGCAAAGTCTTACTATTCCATTCTTTTTGTATTTTTTTTCCAGTACTGGGAATTGAACTCTGGACCTTGAGCTTGCCAGGCAGGCGTGGCTCTACTAAGCTAAATCCCCAGCCCCACTATTCTATTCTTTATAATAGTTTTATTAATACTTCATTTTTCCTTTTTAATTTCACTTGTATTAATACATAAGGCGAAGCTTTTTTCTAATTTCTTAGCTGGTGATTAAACTTAGGCTGAGGGGTTAAGCACTTTTTTCCCCTTGCTTTTAAGGTGTGCAGTGTTACCATGGCTGCCCGTATTTTAAATTGATGTCTTTATTTAGCTTTTTAAAATAGCATTCCTACAGTTTTATTAATGTTTTTCATTATATGTGGCAGTCCAGAGGTGTTTTGTTATGCTACAGCAGAATCTGAACATTTCCAAAAAGAACTGGATGTGGGCTGTCTAAAGAATCTGAGACTGCTGGGTGTGGTGGTGCACACCTGGAATCTCAGCATTTGGGAGGATCCTAGCAGGTGGATCACTGCAAGTTCCAGGCCAGCCTGAGCTACATAGTGAGACCTTGTCTCAAAAAAACAAAAAAAAAACAAACAAAAAAGAATGTGAGACAAGCTTCTCAGGAGAAAGTTATGAGTAATTCTCAAGCAAAACCAAGGGCAATCTTGTTTAGTAATTTTCAGTATATATTCTTCCTCTTAATGAGGAAATGAAGTTAGCAAAGACTTCTCAGTTTCTTTCCTTGACCCATGAGACTATTTTGTGCCTAATAGTTTGAACTCATAAATAGTGATTGTCACAACAAAACAGTTATTGTACCTTAAGAGAAGGGCTTGAAATGGAATTAATATGAGAAATGAGAAAATGGAAACAAAAGTCTTTGTAAATAGGGAGGAGTGGAGGGGTTGAAGGGAGGGCAGGGGAATGAGGAAAAAATAAGAACCAAGATATATTATGTAAAGGTATAAATCTCCAATGATGAATGTCATATTGTATAGCTAAAATGTACCAATAAGAATTTTTAAAAAAGGACAGGGGCTTGATTCATATGGAAGGAGGTGACACAGGTGTCCATGAGGCTGTGAAGCAGCCACAGGCATCATACTGGCCATCAGGAATGTCTGTGACTGGCAGCCCCTTCATAGGGAGGGAGCCTGAGGATGACGTGGCTGAGACTGTGGGTGAGGGTTATAAAGTGTATAGGAGAACCTGAAGGAACTGGGCTCCTAGCCTGTTGGACAGTCCTGCTGCCCGGGAGCCTGGGGTGATGGAGCTCTTATTCACAAACCATAGCCAGTGGGCTGGCTGGCATATAACTCATGGGGAAGCATGCTGGTGTGGGTAGCTTATTCATGGCTGGACTGGTGTGCAGCATGGATAGATATGTAAGTGAATTATTTCATCTCCAGTGTATCCAGCCAAGTAGATTGCTGTCTATGACAATCTTACAAAGGTGACCACCCCAATTCTCAAACACCTCCACCCTTGCTTAATTAGGCACCTTCTTCCTACCTCTTTGCACTTATAATTGTATTCTAGTTAGTTTTTTTTTGTTTTGTTTTTAGATAGAACTCCTTGAAAGAGGAGAGGAGAGGTTGATTTTACTCATTTTCAAATTCAGCGCTTTCGTTTA